AAATCAGGAAATCAATATAGGACTGTACAATAGTGAGCTAAACAGCTTTTTCAAGTCAAACCATATGAGGATAATCACGGTTATCACGATAATGAAAATTCACCACGATATACTTATCTGAGTGTTTATTATCGCGTGTGATAATATCTTGTATCGTCCCATTATAAACTTATTATTATAAACCTGTCAGGGCTCTCTGCAGACAAACTATGTCATACAGACACTGTTTCTATATATGCCAACACTAATTTATCTTTGATAAGCTAATTTTGTTCAGTATATCAGCTGGAAAATGTATGAGTCTGATCAGATTGTGAGACATTTTGCAAAATGTAAAATAATGCCATAATGATCTTTGACTCATAAAGTCATACCAGTTTGATGCACACTTTAGCAGGAATAAATCCTTAGAAATGATTATTTTAAAAAGAAGAACAACACCCAGTATGGAGGCAATGTTATTACACTAAATTACTTTTTTCATCTTTTGTGCACAAACAAGTTTTTCTAAATCTTAGCACATTTAAACATTTCAGTTTTGCCTTAAATAGAGAAGAAATTAGACACGTCACTGAAAACACTGTTTAAATGTCCTCTTGTAACAATTGAATTCTTTGTGTGTCGTACATACCTGCCAAAGGTAGACAACACAGTAGGAGTACAATCAGAAGTTGTGCACGAGACATGATTCTTCCAGTAAGAAGTCCTTAAATTGTTTACAGGTAACTTTTCAAGAATGTCCAAAAATCTCGTCTCGGGGGAACGTTACAGCTCTGTCATCAAACTAACTGCTGCTGCTGATTCGATACGTCCCCCAACTCATTCCCAAATTAAATTTCTCCTCGTCTTTGAAGTGCACACCCTCGGTCTGTTCCTCACTGTTTCTTCCACGTTACTTCTGCTGTGTTTAGTATTAAGCTGATAAAGTGGTAAAAATGTGCTTTGTAAGTCAGCACCCTGAGGTCATCTATGAGTTTTTCTCTTTATGTCACTCTTGTCTTCTATCTTTTGTCATAGGCCTTCATTTGAATACCCCATATTACTCAGGCAGTCAGTGTCTCCTCCCAAAAACCTCTAATTTAATTTGGAGAGTTAATTATGTGCAGCTGACATGGTTAAAGACAGCATACGAACGAGATCTGTGTTTTGAGTTAAGTTACAGAAAGCGACACTTTACAACAACAGCATCTTTACACAGTGATTAATTAATTAAAAGGACAGTCACTGAGGGCACGTTTAGAGGAAGTTAGAGACAGAGAGTGTGTAATAGAGCCGAATAAGATGACCTCTGACATCACTGTAAAGGAGTTCAAGCAGAATATCATCATCAACGATTTTTTTCACAACTGTTCTCTAAGATTATTTTAAGTGATTATTGCTAAACGTTATGCACATTTTTATATCAGCAGTGTTATTTTTCATGTATTTGGGGTTTCTGGGCAGCTTTAAACTTTGTAAAATTGAAAAAATGATGAGACAGCTGTAAAGTTGAGTTTTTGCTGAAAAGAAGAATACCATGCATGTGGGGTAAAAACAGGCAACAAAGAGAAGAATTAACCAAAATAAACCTGGACTCCAGAGTGTTAAACTGCTGTTTAGAGATCAAATTTAAAAACACGCTTCCTGCTCCTATTTCTACAGTTGTGGATACAGTCTTGTTCTCAGTGGTGTTGCATGTAAGAAATCCAACCCTTTATTTGAGTCCAAATAAGACATTGTGTGTGTGTGTGTGTGTGTGTGTGTGTAAGACAGCAGTTAAAATGGTGCAAAGAAGACAGACAGCAATAAAAAACAGCATAATGGAGAAAGAGTCAGCGTCTTCGACAGAGAAAGAAACAGGGAGAGAGAGAGAGAGAAAGTCAGCAGAGTCAGTGAGTTGGAGATCGAGCCAGTTTAACTGAATTATCCTTAGGGCGTAATAGGAGACGTGAGGGCAGCATCCAGGATGGTCTGCTGACAGCAGTCTTGTGATAGTGTCAGCCAAGCTGGCTCAGACTGAATAAGCTGTTTACCAGTTGATTAATTACACAGCCAGTAGCCTGAAAAAAAAAAAAAAAACTCCCTTAAAACTCCTGCCAGTTCAGACAAACAGTATGAAACATTTTCTTTCATTCGTCTTGTTTAACGTGTAAGTTTCTGACAAAGATCAGCATGCTGTATGCCGAAATGATCAGTGGGCGTTGACATTTCATAAATGTTGTTAGGCATCTTTGACTTGTGACATTCTTTGAATTATTTGTGTTTGTTGATCGAGCAATAGATTTTTGAATAGAGTTTGGTGTGAAAGTATCCAAACATGCTTCTCTGTTGTGAATTTACAGTGAGTGTGTTACAGTTGTACAGTGTGTTATATTACACATTTTTCTGATTTGTTGACTCTTTTTTGTGTTCACTTTGTCAAGGACTGCAGAATGAAACCTTAAATCAGTTCACTACTGTTAGATAAAAGTGTTTTATCTCCATGTTTCAGCTTTGCATGAGCTGCCTGTTTGTATGTTGTAAAATAAAGAATTTAAAAACTGTAGCTGAGGAGAAACGCTTTATAAAATTTGAATTGTGGGGGAAGTGGAGTAGACAGTGCTTGTGTGGTAAACCTGCTGATGCTATATTTGACGGGGATGTTTTGTGTACTGGCTGAAGGATCTCAGTGGACAGATGGTGTTCTTTAATCCTGTCTGTGCCCTCTACCTCCCATCCTCCATCCCTCCACATTTCTCTCTACTATTACATCAACCTCACATTTTCTGCCTCTTTTTCTTCCTCTGCACAGAAATACACAGAGATATTTATTTTCTTTGTCACTGAGTTGCCTCCGCATATGAACTGATGAACAACTTTGGCTGCAGTAACTCAGTCTAGTCAGTAGAAGGGAATATTGTGCTGCTTTATGAGTCAGAAAAGTAGTCACACATGCACTCAAGTGCACATATGTATATATACACAACCACAGCCATCTGTTACCTAGGACGTGTTTATGCATGTTTACATCCCTCCAGTACAAACTTCCAAACATCAGTCGCCAAATGTCAACCATAAAAAAAAGTTTGATTAGTAATTAATTGTAAACACAATTCAGAAGACTGCTGTTTCAAACTACGCAGAGCTTTTTCTTTAGCGTCTGATGAGGCAACCTGTTTATCCAACAATCTCAACAGTGTCCAACATCATTTGACCCACATTTCAGGAAAAGCCAGATTATGTTTTTGGTCGAGCCACGCAGACAGAAACAGACGATGGCAGAGTATATAGGCTTTAATCTACGATGACTTTGAACAGAAGGAGAGGCCAATGAGCTCTACACTGTTTAGACAGCCTGCTAAAATGAATCAGCTGTGAACCTGATAAGGTTAATGGAGCCATTTATTTAGACCACTGTGAGAGAGGTGAAGAATATTGACTTACTTGATTCACAGCAGACTGTCCAGGTTTATGTTTTAAAAGGCAGATACAGGCATAGAGACAGGGCTGCTGATACAGTATCTGACCTTTCATAAACAATTCATCAGGATTATTGGAGTCCTTAATCCTTGAAAAACCTCATATAAATACTCCAATCCCTCATTAATTCAGTGTCTCAGTACAAGGAAGGGGTGTTAGGGTAGGCTTATATGTGGCAAAAGTAGGGATTCATCCATGGTGCTTAAAAAGGTTGATGTATGCTCAAATTTTCATGTTAATATGGTGAGCTAAAGTTGAATTAAACTGTTCTCCATTTCTCTGACCTGCAACTTCGATGTTTCAACACTTTAATCAGTCACAGTTTCCCATAAACCCCCAAATTGGTAGTTACTGTAGGGTGACCAAGTGCAAATTGACCTGTCCTTGCTTTGGTATGCTAAGGGGAAATTGCGAGTCACCACAAAGTCACAAGCTATGCAGATTTAGGCAGAGACTACCACAAAGAAAATGCAGCTACAACAAAGACTGGGGAACTACTTATAGCCGGGTGCAGCCAGTGGAAGGAGACTATTGCAGGCTATCACATCAGACCATAAGAACTGTGAATTTGCATTCAAATAAAGTATATTTAAGTCCTTCACATGCTAAAAGGCCTAACCTATAGCCTAACCAGCATTGTGTGCTACTGAATCAGCCAGAGGGAAAAGCATAGAGATGTTTATTTTAAGATAAGTTAGACCCCTCAGTATTGGTAATGTGTCCCACACAGACGTACTCTTTGTCCCACAGTTGGTTTGTTGGGATCAGGTATTGTGATTTTCTTTCTTTTAATAATAATGTAGTTTAATCTAGCTTCTAATAAACTACTCAAATTATTTACTTTAAGTTGATATTCAGGCTCAGCTCGAGCTCACACAGAATTATTTCAGGCCTGATTTTTTTGTGGCCCGATCAAAGCTCTAATTTATATTTCATAATCTTTTTAAGTTGTTATATGTAGTTGGATTAATGTTATTTCACACAATTAAAGTCTAATTCTGGACAATACTGTTCCTTGTTTTCTTAGAGAGGATGGGAACTTCATGTCTGATGAAGTTATGTTTGTTAATGACACTCAAAACTTCAACAGAAAAGGTTTAAATAACAGAACCCCAGTGACTTTGTACTGGCCGGTATCGATTACTACAATGTGTTAGCTACAGTCAACATTTATTGAAAGCCAATACAACAGAGGCTGTGGTGATTCAAATCAACGCTGATTGAATCCGGACAGGACGTGTGGGGGATGGGGGGGTGCAGGGATGAAAGGGTGGGAGGAGAGCCGTTGTCAGACTCACTATAAATACATGAAGAAGACCGGAAGTGTGGCTGTAGAAAATAAGAGCATATCATTTCTCAAATTTGAAGTTTTTAATGTTTTTGTGTACCTGCTTCATTTTTGGCTCGACCACAATTCGGTTCGAGGTTTTTTACACTCGCTGGTCAATTTTATAAACTGAGATGTGGCGTTAAATTCCTCAACATAGCTGAGATTTGAGATATCCTGGTTTTATTTTGAAATGGGTAACCGGAAGTGTGCGCATTCACAGCCGCCACCTTGACGCGTAGTTTGGTCGGCAGAGAAAGACAGAGGGAAAAAGGGAGCGAATGAATAACGGGAACTGGGTCGGTTTGGAAATTAAACCCAGCAGAGTTTCCCTCTGCGTGGCCGAGCGTGGGAGCTGCTACAGATAAATAAAAAGGTAAGCAGATATAAGTCTACATCTGTGTTTGTTATTTGTGTAACTTTGTTGATGATAGTTTCCCCGGTAGAGAGATGTGTAACATCATCAGAAGTATTTGGGAAAGGAGCAGTGAACTGCTGGGCGGCGCACTCCTGCAGCCAAACACTCAAGATGTTTTGTTCTGTGTGTGTCTTAGGTTCATATTCATCACTGCAGCTGGATAACTCGTGGCTTTTTACATTGTCAAACCCAGTGAAACCACACAATAATGCACGAAATGTAGAGTATTGCATCAGGAAAAGTGCTATTGTTCCACAAGGTGTCAGTGCTTACATTAGTGGGCAGCACAGACACTTAAATACTTGCTGTTAGCTTTGATTTGATAGATCAAACCTGCACTAAGTGTTCTGAATATACTATTTGTGCTGCCTTTTTCAAAATATAATGCATATCAAAGCTCAGCACTTGTTGCATATGTTATGAAGCAGATTTTAAGAAACATCCTGTGTGGATGGGAACCAAGTCCCCTTCTGCAGCCTCACAGTGGGCGACTGCTGTGAGTTACAGGGAAGATGATAAAAGGGCAATTGTCCCAAATCTAACCCACTGCCCCAACATGAAAAAGGCTTTGCAGCATATTGCACGGCTACTGAATAATGTTTCTTTTATAATCTTATCTTACCTTGGACAATGCTCCTTTTGTCTACTTTCAACTGTTCTATCTCTGTGTGTTGTTTCAGCTGTCCCTGAATGTTGTTTTTATTATCAGTGATGAATTATAGTTGTTTCCTCTTACAAACTAACAATCACCAGTTCATCTCCAGAACAATGTGGGAGATAGGACATGGGCCTGCAGTGTTTGAATACCACAGAATATGTTGAAAAATTGATCCTTTCCTTTTTTGTTTCTGCATTTGTTAATGTGTCCAATTCCCTCTGCCTTAGGCGGGGATCGTCTGCTTCGACTTCTTGGCAGCCACACACAGAGGAGTAGCCGGTGGAGTACTGGAATGAAATAATAGGCACAGGGATGAAGATGCTCTCCACTTTCCTCCTGGAACTCTTGATCCATCCCATTAGCTTTGTTTAGACTTCAGCTTGTGTTTTTACAAGTAAAAAAACACGTACACATCTTTTTTTTTATTACCTCTTGCTTCTCCTCTTCGTATTTTGGCGGAACACCAATACCTTGCTACCAGTTTTTACAAACTTAGTTGAAATCATGGCAAACATGTGCCTGTACGGCAGCTTCACCCACGCCGTGGTGCGGGGCATCCCAGAGACCTTTGGGAAAACGGTGGGAGATGGTCGCGAGAACGGGGAGATCTCGGTGGACCTGGCCAAAGCTCAGCGTCAGTTCGGTTGCCTAACAGGAGCCCTGAGGCAGAAGGTCGGCCTGCAGCTGATCGAGATCCCCCCTGACCCCGAGCTGCCAGAGAGCTGGAGGATAGAGGATGTGGCAGTCATCCAGGGAGACACAGCGCTCATCACCAGGCCCTTCAAACAGCAGAGACGCAGTGAGGTAACACAGTGGAGAAGAAAAATGGGCTTTAGTTAAGGCATTTCTGCACCCTAATCTATTGCACTTAATCTTGCTTTGTGAGATAAAGGGCAGTTAGTAGGAGCCTTAGTGCTTCACTCCTTTAAGATAGCATTTAGTTGCCTTTGTGTGTCACATGGTCAAACAGATCCTTGTTGTTACTTGTTGCTGCATTCAGTTATCTTTTTAGAAATTCCAACATTTGAGATTTGAGAGCCTGCGGAAAATAACCTCTTTAATGAGCAACTCAAACTGCCCATATTTTGACAGCCATGTTTTCTTGTCCTGTTTGTCTGTTAGGTTGGATTTCGCAAAGCAATATAATGCTTATTGGCAGCTATTATTACTTAAATCTTGAATGTCAGGTTCAGTTAACTTTAGTTTAAGAGACTGTAATTTCCAAACAACTCCCCAAAACTCCCGGAAAGAACTGTAATTTGGTACTAACTATAGGGAAAATAGCGATTTAGTGGTAAATGTCCAATTAATTAGTTGTGCTTTATTTTACAGGTCTGTAATCCTTATGTTTTTTTATTAAGTTCAGTGGGAAGAACTACTGTATGTAACTTGGTTGTAGTAGGAAGGACAAAATAGGAATTTGAAAGAACAACTCCACTAAAACTGAAGAAAACATTCAGTCATTATTAATTTATCACTGCAAATCTTTATATTATTAATGTGCCAACATTTCATAATGATTTTGGGAAATGACTAGAATATTCTTCAGAGGTTACAGGAGACCCATTTTTATGAGAAGTTACAGTGGTTTCTTGAATGCATTATCTACAGTAGCAAAGCTTTAAAAATAGCTTGCAGCTTATTTTTTTATTTGGTCTTTACATAAGAAATAAAGGCAACAACCTTGTTCACAGAAATACATTTTTTTATATGCTTTGGAACTTGTTAGGCACTAATGTAAAGTATTCACTGTTTTAAATATAGAGAGATGGATAGTACAGCGAAACTATGTTCATCCAGAGAAACAGGCATATGGTAACCACCTGTATGGTTGTCACACTCTCATACTGAATCAAGTTGAGCATGACTGTGCATGCTTTCTCTGTTTCCTTCTCTAAACGTCTCCAGGCGGAGGCAGTGAGGAGAGTGATGTCAGAGCTGAACCTGACTGTGGTGGAGATGGGGGCCGAGGAGGGGGACTCCGGAGGGGCCACGCTGGAGGGCAGTGACGTCCTCTTCACGGGGAGGGAGTTCTTTGTCGGCATCTCCTCTCACACCAACCGCAGAGGGGCGGAAGTGCTGGCAGACACGTTCAGGGTAAGCAGCATAAAGAGAAGATTTAGCTAGGACCTAATCTCCGTTTGAATCGACAGTGAACTGTGTTTTGCTTGGGCCCTTTTGTCATGAATACACTACACCTATGTTATATGTTTCGTTGATTTGTGTACTTGCATCATCCCAAATGTTTCCAAAAAATGATCAAACCCAGAGAAATTTGTAATTGTAATTTAGCTTTCATAAATTGACTTGTTTATCCAGTTTTAAGCCACATTTTGACAGTTTTTTAAGTTGTTTTTAACTAGATATGATTAGCAGCAAAACCAGAAACTGATAAAAGCTCACCAATAAACCATAAAATAACCAATAGAGTTGAATTTTTCAGCCAGTGCCACAAAGACAGTCTTAGTGCCAAGATGCTTGTCAGAAAATCCAACCAGCTGCCAAAGTGAGCAGGTGGCCATTTGCTGTATTGCATTTGGGGAATTATAGTCTGTAAACAGTGATGAATGAGGCCGCTCCATTGGCCTAATAATGGAGGCCACATAGCGGGCCCCCTCGGGCTTGACACGACACACCCATTAGTATTGATTCTTTTACTTCTCTTAAGTGCATTTTACGCACTTCTGCTTTTCTTAACACACACCCACACACACACTCTGCATATGCTTATGTTGAGTGTGTGTGTGTGTGTGTGTGTGTGTGTGTCTGGTATGAATTAGTGTGGGTGGGAGGGCTCATGTGGTCAGAACAAGGCAGAGGAAGATGAGTGTTTACTTGGACATCCTCTGTATCGTGTTTCAAAATTGTTACAGGATAATTTTGCAAGTTTTGCTGTCGTCATTCAATCCAATATGATAACACTTACGTAGATAAATGCTTGTTTTATATATTTTGCAGCTAAGAGAGAGATTCCATAAAATGCCACCTCAGTTTGATTCAGCTCTTTGTATTTTTAGCCAGTTGTTGGTCAGTTAGTCCACAACTTCGGTCCAGACTGAAATATCTCAACAACCAGGGATGCATTGCAATGAAATTTGATACACACTCTCATGGCTCCCAGAGGAATCCTACTGACTTGGATAATTATCTGACTTTTCCTCTTGGCTAGGACTAGGGGACAGAATGTCTGTGTGTGTCAGACAGGAGAGGACAGAGCAGCACAGCAGTAAATTGCATTCATTTGTTAATTCTAAATCGTTGTACTCTCAGCAAAGTTTTTTATTACATGACTGTTTTGGTACAAACATTTACCTGCCAGTGTGGTGGAGTGTTTCTTCACTGTGGTATTGCTACTTTTACTTAAAGATCCCTTCCAGACATGAATTAGTCAAATAGTATGCTTGAAATAATGTGTGTATGGTGTTTTTCTGCAAAAAAGTATAATTTCCACATAAAGAATGAATATGCAAATTTTGTTCATTTCTACATGTGACGTCACAAATCATGGTCGTAAGCCCTGCCCCTTAAAAATCCGATTTTCAGTGAGCACAGAGAAACTTTCCACTTTGAGCAGATAAATGTGAGAACATCCTTCTAATGTCAAACTCTGCACATACATCGTTCTGCACAGCGAAGCTCAAACTTCCAACTGTAGGAACAAGAAGAAAAACATATTTCTGAGTGGAGGGGGCCTTTAAGTGCTTCTACCACTGCTAACGATACCTGTAACACTGTTTCAGTTTTATACAGTTAAAGAAGCGTAAAAAAGTGTAGAACCTATGTCTTTCTTAAAACTACAGAATAAGTGTTAAGTCAGGAGTTACTGCAGCTGTATTAAGCCCTACTAAAGGTTTATTCAGACCAAGAGGTGGCAACTGCATGACTGCCTCTGATCCTTCACAAGAAACCCCAGAATCACTCAGCAGGCGAGCTATAAGTGGTAAAACGTTGACTTCAGTAGAACAGAGCCGCCGTTAATGTTATTAGTAACACTTCAGTGCTTTTCCTGCTATGACCGAATGTCCACTGTGAAAAAAAAAAAGGCCTCTGGGGGGCTTCTGCAACACTAGATGATGTCTCGTTTGAACACAGTGTGTTAATTAAACCTTTCAACCTCCATCTGCGCAGGACTTCGCTGTGTCCACCGTCCCCGTCTGTGGCGGAGCCCGACTGAAGAACATCTGCTCCATGGGAGGTCCGGACACAATCATCATCAGCAGCACTGACGGCGCCAAGAAGACACTCCGGGTGAGTGAGTGTGTTTACAGTAAATGTTTGTGCATGCACAAAGTAGTGTTAATAAATATAAAATACTATAATCTTTTAAAGGAATAGTTTTGAGGAATATTAGCTTTCTTAGGGAATTCATATGTTTTTATCAATACCAGTTATTTATCGATTCCCTTAGTAAGTAAGTAAGCCTATACAGATTTTCAACGTCAACCTAACAGTTTTATTATCTCCGAGTATGAACACACTGTAGAAACAAGAGTAGTGTGCAAGAAGCTCCACTGTTTAATTTGGAACCGGTTCCTGATATCCGTCCCTAATATTTATACAGTATTAATTTCCATTTGTTTTCTTAGTCAAAGAAAAACTCTGCTAAGCCTGTCTGTGTGGCGCTAATGTTATTATAGGATATTTACCTTTGGTAACTGTTAGAAAGCAGTGGCACTCGTGCATAAAATATCACATACTGCCATTCCTGGAATTTAAGCCCCCGTTGAAGAAAAGAGAGATGTTTCACGCCACGCTTTGGATCCTCTCTCCTTCTTGTTTCCAGCAGCGTAGTCAGTATCTGCCTTATTATCTATCATATACACATTTTCACTCTGTGTCCGTGTCAGTGTTTCCCTTCTCTCTCCTGACGTGAACTGCACAAATCATAAACATTTCCTAGCTGCTGAGGTCATATTAATAATGGGACTAATGTTGCCATTGAGTCTGTGTGTGTAATGCTGGGAGTGGTCTGCTGCAATATGTGTGTGTGTGGGGACCTGTCAGGGTGGTGCACCGTAATAATAAGTGTGCGTTTGTTTTCAGATGATGGAACAGCTGACTGATCACCACTATGAAGTGCTCACTGTTCCAGAGGAATCGGCAGCAAACTGCGTCTACATCAAAGGTCCGTCTAATCGAGACTTCCTGCTCCACCGACCTGCAGAGGAATGTCCCGACAGTGTCTCTGTGAGTACAGCTGAGGACTTTGTTTATCGCCGGCCTCAGTAAAAAAAGAACCTTATCTTTATTAAGTTTTGCATAATTTTATTTTATTTTGTCCGTGGCAATTTAATATTGGTTAAAGTTGGGGGATTCACAGGAGACAGAACCTGGCTTTTAGTCCCCAGTGTAGGTTCAGCTCCAAGAACTCCTTTTATTAGACCCCACCCAGCTGGGTGTAATGAAGGATTTGAAGTCTCAAATCCAGTCCAAGATAACCCTGATAACAACCAGGGTTGGTTTTTTAGACCTCCAAACCTGGAAGTCATGGTACTGTATTCAAAAATCCTGCAGGTCCTATTATTTAAAGCAGTTATTTCTGACCGTTTATCCAAAGCAGCAGAGACTGTGATTGAACCATATTATAAAAGACGATTAATGGACCTCAGATAGACCTTGTTTCCTTGGTGCAGGATTTTGGCACAACTGCTTCAAATGAGAGCAGAGATCTTAACAGAATAAGATGTGTCACAATGCAAACTGTTGTATTAATTATGCAGTGACAGTTGCCTGTTCGGATCCAAAAGCTGAAACGTCTCGCTCACTATTCTGTCACTCGTCCTCCATTGTTGACCTGTTGAAAATGCAAGTAGGTGGGAGGACAAAAGTGGAGATATCTTGAAAATGTGAAACCAGCCTTTTTTTTGTTTCAGAATAATACAAGTACAGAATAGTGAGCGAGAGTTGGAGGTAACTTCTGACCAGGGATGAGCAATGTCTCTAATATTACCAATATCATTAGCATACCAACCAAAGTAGGAAGGAAATAATAAGAGAATTATTCTAAGCCATATCATCCAATTAAAAGTGATTATTTACAGGTACAGGGTGCAACATTCAGGAGGATCTATTGGCAAAGTATTAGTTTTCATTAGACTCATAAGCCAACTCACATTCATTAAATTAGCTCTTATGAAATACATTAGGAAAGGCGCAACAACTAATATTGTTACTTTATTACCGTTTATTGGCAATCATTGATTTTAACAACAGCACCTGAAATGATTTTACTTTGGGTCAAGAAATAATAATATTAAATTAGCCTTAAACCCTACTTTTGACAACCCAGAATTCTCTGGTGAATTAATCGTGTAGTTGCGCTTCGTGATTGCTTTCAATGGAGCAGTAATAATTAAACATATTAATTTGTAATGATTTCTGCTGTAGAAAATGCAGCAGTTAATATGCCTACATTATCTCTACTGTCTAGTGGTGTATAACATTCAAACAACTGGCTGTCATATTATTTACAGGCCAGATTCGTAGCTGTGAATCTCACTGATTTGACAAACTCTTTTTTTAGCTTCTTGCATTATTACTGTGAAGCAGTTTTCCCCCTCTTGTTCCTCCTTTCATTAGCCAGTAACTTTTTCCTTTGAGTGTATCCAGTTTAGTCTGTGCCCGTGGTGATGAGTGTGTGTCTGGATGAGTAAGTTGTTTTCCTCTTTCCTCTCTGCAGGCCTTCCAGAAGCTACAGGACTACACCCTTCTGCCGACAGCCTGCAGCGAGGCCTCCAAACTGGGAGCGTCTCTGTCCTCGTTCTGCCTCCTCATCAACAGAAAGCACACATATTTCTGAAAACACACTCCTAACCATCAGTACGTTACACAGCATTTACCTGCACATGTTTTATGGTGGAGTGAAGGGAGAGGCGAGGCCACGTCGCAGATTAAGATTCTTGTCTATTTATTTGTAACACCGACACACATCATCTGTATGAGAATATGATCCAACTGTAACATCTGCTATCTGACTTTGTGTAGCAAACGAGCTGATTCTTGGCACCGCTGCCCCCCCCCCCTGCTGAACCAACAGTGCAGCACGCTGGTTCCCACACAAAACTCTAACCACTAAATTCAGCTGTAGCTTCACACTGTTTTAACTTGTGACCACCACTGAGCTGACAACACATTAACACAAATGTAATTAAAAGAAGAACACCAGGGTAAACAGGCGATGTTGGTACTCAGGGGTTTCTGCAGGATTCACCTAGTTTAAGACACCAGAGAATGCAATTTAATACCTGTTTCATGAGCATACCAACTAAAGTGTGATGGAAAACCAGCAGGGATGTTATGACCTTCAATTATTTGTCACAATTATTCAGTACTTCCCAGCAGTTTGTAATAATACAATTTGTAGGACCTGGATAAGCAGCATAAAATTAGTTGATGAACCAATTAAGTGGTCCAGTGTGTAACATTCAGGAGGATCTATTGGCAGAAATTGAATATAATGACCATAGGAATGTCTTTCATTAGTAACACCTGAAAATAACAATTGTCGTGTTTTTGATACCTTGGAATGAGTCGCTTTTGTCTAGACGCCACAGGTTGCCTTCCATGTTTCTACAGTAGCCCAGAATGGACACAAACACAGGATCTGAATGGACTTATACAGCCAGTTAGTTGCAATCTGCAACTTCACCACTAGATGCTACTAAATTCTACACACTGGACCTATAAGTCTAAAATGTAAACCATCACTGCTAACAGCACAAGCAGAGCTTTTTAAGATATCCTGTGGTACCCAAATGTATGTCTGCCGTTTTGTGACAGTGTATAGTCTCTATTCCATTACTCTTCTTGTACTAGTTTTACTGACAGCCTCAATTACAGAACATGCTAAGAATAATGCAGAGTTTATAAGTGTTTTAGCTTTGTGTATGAATTTGTAGCAGGTGTAGTCAAGCCAATAAAACTGACAACTCAATCAGTTATCTTGTGTAATTTGTTTACTGTTCAAGAAATTGTGTGTATTTAAAGTAACACTCATGACACCAAGGGAAATTTCTTCAAATTTATTTGTTTTGTTAGAAAGCAAAGATGTTTAACGGTTGGACTTGGCAACTCTCTCCAACTCGTCCTTCTTCTTGATGGCATAAGAGTTAGATGAACCCTGAAATGAGGAAAAATGTTTAATATACATTTTACAGCAAAATATCAATGCAGGACCAGTTAATGACCACTCACAAGGTCACTACTTGAAAGAACACTAATCTAACAGTGCTTCTTATTCTACATTACACTATGAATCAGAACGGTCATGCTGTAAGTGGATAAACTCTTACCTTAGCTGCATTGATCAGCTCATCAGCCAGGCACTCGGCGATGGTCTTGATGTTCCTGAAAGCAGCTTCTCTTGCGCCTGTGCACAGCAGCCAGATAGCCTACGAGACGAGAGAGAGCAGGACATTAGTGGGTGAGAGGCTGACAAATTCACTTTGGTGGAACAAACACTGACCGGCAGTGTAATGTATCTGAGTTGGTGATTGACTGGGCCACATCAGACTACAGCCAATGAATAAGCAAAGATATTTCCTCTGCGAGCACTCTAGCACACCAGGGCAATGGGAGTGTCAAGGCGTGACTCTAGCCTCGCTTAATGCATCAATTTCATATTAAAAATACATAGAAATGAAAAGGCTAGGCTAAGACTGATTATTTAATTCTGAACAAACCTAATTTCCCAACACAGACTATTTGTAGCTGTTAACCAAATACATAATATAACTCATATCAGCCCTGTCAGGTAGTTCACTGTATTAAAATTAGTTCTTCCTCCCACTTGCACTTACAATAGGCACAATTTACAGCTAATTGCCCAGATACATACAAGCACAATACTTTGTCTGGTCTTTGGGTGAGAGGATTTTGCTGTAATGCTACACAGTAAATGAATGTTAATGAGCGTGTTACCTGGTTGACTCTGCGGAGGGGCGACACGTCCACAGCCTGCCTCCTGACGGTACCGGCACGACCGATACGGGTGGAGTCCTCACGGGGTCCACTGTTGATGATGGCGTTCACCAAGACTTGGAGGGGATTCTGGGAACGAAATGTAAAAATGGTAGTAAGAAATCTCAAAATCAATGCACAACATGTGGTAACATCAAGAAAAAGACATTGAACACCAACTGAAACCTGACAGTGCTGATAATCTGCTCAATGTTGTGTTTTACAAACAGGGTCTCACTTTGCACTTTGAAAAGAGCATTTTATTGTTTGTTTTTTTAAATTAACTGGGAATTTTACTTCTATTGTGTGCAAAAATTCAAGTGAAATATCATTGACAGTACAATAAATGTGGTCTGTTTTTGAGTTAGTTACTTTGATGGCGTTTGTGGCATAATTAACAGCTCATTTGTATTTCTCTTCAAGTTTAACTAATGGAAGCATAATGAGTTGTCTCCACCTTTTTACTGTTTAAATCAGGAGAAGAAATCACTATTGGGTCTGTGGAGACTGGGTGATCAACTAATGCTGATCTGCTCCTTTTTCAAAATTCAGGGCTTTCCCCCCCAGTTTAAAAAAAACCCCAAACCGTGGCAAATGTTGTCCAAGTTAGTGGTACATACCTCTCCAGTCAGCAGGTGGATGATCTCGAAGGCATGCTTGACGATGCGCACGGTCATCAGCTTCTTGCCGTTGTTGCGGCCGTGCATCATCATGGAGTTGGTCAGACGCTCCACAATGGGGCACTGGGCCTTACGGAAACGCTTGGCGGCATAACGTCCTCCAGAGTGTGGCAGGTACTTGGCGTACTTCTCTTTCACAGCAATGTAATCCTGCAGTGCACAGGTGGTGGTTTAAGCATCGTGATTTATGCCGATTTTAACCCTGCATGGTTGTTGCACAGTACGTATGAAATGGTAGTGTGTCTGAGTTGGTGATTGACTGGGTCACAACAGACTACAGCCAATGAATAAGCAAAGACGCTTTCCTCTGCGAGCACTCTAGCACACCAGGGCAACAGGTCAGTGTCGAGGCGTGACTCTAGCCTCGCTTTACATTGATAAAAAGTACTTCATTAAAACACAGTGGATAAAAGCAGCGTGTCTCTTGCTGCTTACCTGCAGGGAGATGTCATTGATCTGGACATCATCGGTGCTCCACTTGCCAAAGAGCTTGATTTCTGGGGTCTCAGCCACAGCTGGGGCAGTCTCCCACTCAGTCACTGAGGATGGGGGGAAAAAAAGGGAAGTGGTCAATTAAAGCAAAGAAAATTCAAAGTTAAGAAAAAGGCAAATCTCACTTCATTAAGCTTGGCCCATACCCCCGTTTTCCCCCTTAAAAATGTATATTTTAAAGACAGGGCTGGAGCAAAAGGAAACTCCTTAAAGTTACATCTGGTTGTCTAATGATAACATAAGCAAACTATTTAGTTGTCGGGTTGATATTGATCACAGGATGAAGCAGCCTTATCATTAATGTAACCATATCGTTTATTTTACAATAACATCGAGCAATATGATAAATCACATTAATCCCATGTAACAATTACACTGATTGGGATCGATATCGCAGCTCTAACCTCTCTCCGGCGTTAACATACAAGCGATACAAAGACATACACATTTGTTCCTTGCACAAATCACTTTTAATATAACTATTATACTAATACACACAATTTAATAACATGACAGCCACATTTCCATAGCAGGGCCTCGGTTGAAGCCTATTTCTCCAGACTTTAGCAATGTCGACTGACAAGCTAACGAAGGCTTTAAAATGACGACATTACACGTTGATTAACAGTGGTAGTACTTTCCATCGTGGACAAACACGGCCACAGTTCGTATACGATCTCATCATTCTGTGAAATGCAGTATTGAGTGAGATTTATCGAGGTGGCGGATCAACATGCCGCATCCACATGTGCTAGCAGTTAGCCACATGCTATCGCTCAGCGCCGTTGTGCTCGTAGAGTAACACTAATGTGGAAATAAAACCACTTTACGACCAAACTGAGAGGTTTTTTCTCTTCTTTCTCGGACAGCGGGAGTCAGTGCCGCGTCTAACTACCCGAGAAATATATTTTTAAAGACATATGAAGGGAGGAAAGTGTGATTTTTCCACTCACTTGTGTCTGCCGTCCTGTACCACACTGCTCTGAGACGGAAAAGGGCCTTTTCGGGGCGCCGCGCGCAGATATCCGGTGAGCTGGTCGGTTACTTCCGGTGCGCAAAGCATGTATGGAATTGTATCTTATGTTTCATTTATAAAGTAGTCAACAGTTTCTGGGTCTTTCTATATGTCTGGTGTTGGAGGTCGTTGGAAATAATATATTGATGAAGAAAGGAAGCATTTATTGATTTACATCAATATTAATACTAATATATAATACTATATAATATATATTACGTTTCACTTGCAAACAAGATAACATCTACCAACTTTTCAGTTGGAAATAAACTTGTCAAAAACAAAATAGTTACAGCAAATATAACACATATGCACATTTTACACAGTAAACTTCCCTCAACTAATTAAAATTCACCCAAAAAACAACCCAAATATAGCAAAACATATTATATATAAGTTGAAAGCCTAAATTAGGTCTCATAAGCCTACAGTATTTTAAAAGAAAAAAACATGGCCCTAAGAGGATTAAGTAGTCAGTATACTAATAAAATCTGAATTTAACTATAAAGAAATATAAGGAACTCTTTCTTAATTTTTGTATTGATATTTCTTTGAAACACTTCCCTCTGGCAGGAGGCTGCGGTCCATCAGGACCCAAACCTCTCGCCACAAAAGCAGTTTCTTTTTCTGCCCGTCTGCAGCTGGCCTCATTATGACTCTTATACCCATGTATATACAGTATGCATTACATTAATGCACTCCCGTCTTCTGCAGTTTTCTTTTCTTATCTTTAATTATTTATATTTTGAAAGTACTTTATTTTTTTGTGTGATTTGTATATTGTATATTTTATGCACCAATGCATTAGGACACATTCCTCGTAGGTGTAAAAACCTACTTGGCAATAAACATAATTCTGATTCTGATCTTTTTACTTATATTTATATTTGTGATAAGTGGAATTTATGAATTTAAGAACGAATTATCCCACAAATGAGTGGGAATTTATGGTTAGGATGTATGATTATTCACTTTAATGTTCCAGTTTCTTTTCTTTTCTTTAAGAGTCATGTATTTCCTGAACCAAATGAACAGAGATGAATAAAGACAATAAAAGATGTTCAAACCTTCTTTTATTGACAACATTTGACAGTTTCATTGGCAGACCAAATACTGTAGAAATTGTAGGACAGTGTCAAAATAGTAGGTTCTGTTTGGGTTTAAAAAAAACTGTCCATATCCACAATTACTGTTTGTAAAGCAAGAAAACGCAGAGGACATCCCTTAAATACCTACCTTATGCAGTTAGGTCAACTAATTTGTACAAGTAAACATGAAACAAAGGATGCAACAATATTAAAAGTAATACTAAAAAATCTAACAACTTTAAAACAGTTAAAATCATCCAATCCTCATCATTTCCCTTCTTTTCATCTGGTTAAATATTGTGCAATGCGTACTATGATCAAATTAACATTCTTGGTTTATCACACAATAGATATTTCCATTCTTCTTTTAGGAAACATATATAAGCACAACAGGCAACCATAAACATCCAATAGAATCCAAACATTTAAGAGAAATCAATCCCTTTTTCTGACAGAAAACAGACAAAACATGAAGGTTGCTAAACGCCTGAGATATCTAAATGAGATGGGAGGTACAAACTGCCATATACAAAAGTCTGGTAGACAAGTAAACACTAATATAGTACTGCCACTCTCTGGCCATTATCTCTCTCTCCACCCCTCTCCATCCATTTTAGCACCTTCACTAAAGGCAGTGTATCATAGCACTTCGGTATTGGACATGAAACACAGAGGCATATGGGGAAGAGTTAAGGCTTAATCTACTAAAGCTGCAAAGCACTGCATGATAATGATAATAAACATGATATTCACACTAAAAACATGACCACCCCCCAACCCCCTACCCCAGGGTTAAAAATGCAAGGGTAGAAAGATATATATAAATTACTGCATCATACAGTAAGATGAGCAGGGCAGTGATTCTGTACATGTAGACAAGATGACAGAACGTTGCTCAGGCACTCTCGTGTTGTGTGGTGTTTTGAGGTATGTATGACCAACCACACACAGACACACACACACACAGATAGATATTGTATGTATGTGGACTCAGTATTTTAAAGTAATAAACTTTTTTTTTTTATATATTAAAAGGGGCACTTCACCAATTTTTAGTCAGCTTGACACAAAAAACAACAAAAAAGCCAACGTCAGACAGGTAGGGTTAAATAAAAAGGTACAACTGAGTTGCATTCATTTGGGAATAAAAGCCAGGATATTTCAGCCTCTCTGCCTTTGCTACATTTGATTTTTGACCCTTTTTTCTTAAATCTGTCTCTTACAAGTCCCTTTAATTTATAGAAAAACAATACTAAATTGCTGAAGTGCTCCTTAAATGTTAAACTTAACAAGCCTATGGAAGCCTTTATATTTGTTGCTTCTGACAGTTTGTGCCTTGTACTTATTTTCTGAGAAAATCCTATCAGCAAACACACACAGTGACGTGCCTGATTTGTCCGACAGCAGCACGGTTAAAAAAATTAATATTTAAGTAAAGTTTAATTGCGTAGAGTAAGACAAGAAAGATTGATAACACTCTCACATCCGTACGATAAACATGAGCTGTTAGCTTAGCTTAGCTTAGTCTAAAGATGGGAAAAAGGGGAAACAGGTAACCTTATTAGGGTTATTTCTTGGCACTAGCTTCCTGGAGTCTTCGCTGGTTGCCTGGCAACCTCACAGTGATGACAAGACTCCAGGAAGTGTGTCCGGCTAAGAAATAGTCCAGCACATAACCCACCATAACCTTTTCACACTTCATATTTTGTGCAATTTAAACAAACAACATAAAGCTTGTTAATTAGTGAGCTTTACAGCTGTTAGGTGGGTTTGGTTTCCTTTGGACAGAGCCAGGCTAGCTGTTTCCCTCAGTCTTTATGCTAAGCTAAGCTAACCAGCTACTGGATGTAGATTCACATGCACTGCACATACATGAGAGTGGTATCAATCATCTTATCCAACTCCCCGAAAAACCTTAACCTTATAGTTACTAAGATGAGCATAAGAGACCACATACAGGAAGTACAAGGAAGAACAAACGCTGGCAACACTGATGTTAAATTCATTTCTAACTGTAATCCAAAAAATTTGATTACATCCTTAAGAGTACACCCACAAATGTTTGTGAGGATACTTTACAGTGGTTGTAGAGGCAGATTTTAATACATGGTGGAAGGTAAGAGCTTATAAAACTGCAAGGTAAGTGTGTGTGTGTATGTGTATGTGTGTGTGCTGTAAAAGAGTTTTGTTTTACACCAGCCACTTCTCCATGCACACGTGGAACACCGTCTCATTCGAGTGCCAAAAGACGTGTTCGACGCCGGGAACAGAACAGATGATCAGATCTCCACGAGCTGCCAGCGTCTTCAGACCGAAAACATCTCTTAAATACAACTGAAACAGGGAAAGAAAGATTCTTCTAAATAAAGGTGCAGGAAAGGCTTAGATCATTACGTGATCTAGATGAGGATGAAGAACGAGTCCATTCATCTTTTAATTGCTTTTTATATGATGATATAAGGGCTAGAATAAAATGTCCCTCATTTCCCATGACTTATACTTGTTTGACACTTGAGTCATGATTTAGGAAGTTAACCTTTTTTGTGGCAGATTTTATTTGTGAAAGTGGGACAGTAGATCTTTGTGTGCAATGTAAACGTTATATGAAAAAAAGTGTTGTGTATGTGTGTCTGTTGTGTGATTTTACTCACATCTTGGTGCTGCATCTCAACAACAGTCTCATTGTCGTCATAAAATCCAAACTGACTATAAAATCATGAGAGAGACGGAAGGTTATACAGTGTGAGTGTCACATGAGTCATCTGATAATCCACAGTCAAAAAACGTAAGTCGCATCAAGCACAGCCGAGTAATGTGTGAAATCAGCATAGAAAATGTTCCACTGTGGGACCCTTGTAAAGAAAAAGCTGCATTCAAGCTGTACAAATAAATAGAAAAGGAGAAAACTGTTGCAAACCCGTAGTTCAATCAGTGTATATGAATCAAAGTAAACTGCAAATAATAATACCTCAGCTGTAGCAGAGAACAGACTTCATCAGGGATACAGAAGTGTATGAACAATATTCAATGAAGTAATCAACTTTGGTCTTTTAGAGGCATTTTAGCACCACTCAGATTTGTGCAACTGTGTGCCTCAAGTGTATATATGGTAGAAAACATTACAAATATGCCATAATTACCATAAAAACATTTTGTCTGTAAGAAAGATCATTAAATGAAATCATATGTCAGATCAGAAGACAGAAGATGAATTCACCTCGACTGCCAGGGAGTGATGACCCCATCGTCTGGACCTCCGATCAACACCAGCTTTTTGATTTTCAGGAAGTTCTTCTTCCACTCTGAGATTGAGACATAAAACACAGTAAATAGACACTCAGTGACCATTTTATTGGGTACATCAGTACAGTCTATTGCAATCCAGTACAACAGCTCTGCTATAAGTTCTACAAAGTTCATAATGTTCTGTTTTTGTTGATATCTTTAGAAATGTGTAAATGCAATCATATGTTTATTTATGTGGCCACAGTTAATGCTGATGTTGTACTAGCTGGTTGTACTATCTCATCCATGTTAATTTTGGTATATAACACAAAAAAGCGATATTTATTCTTCATGTTCTCATTTCTAGAATTGATTGACAATGTAGCCTATATGTTAAAGTATTTAACATGTTAAGGAACATTTAATTTAAACATTTGTTTTATTTGTTTAGATATACACATAAAGATATTTCAGAGAAAAAAAGGAAATGTGGAAACCCCCCGGCTTTTTTGTTTTGTGTTTTCCTATTATTCAGCACTCTGATGTCCTTAGGACCAGCTGTATACACAAAATATTTGGAGCTGAAGCAGCTGCAGAACATTGTTATGCTGACAAGCTAAAGAGGTCAAAACTGGTCACTGCTGCATCATAAAGAAAGAGATACACCCTTTGATAGTTACATACATTAAATATGGATGAGTTTTACCCACAAGGAATGTGCTGACCTGTTGAATTAGGATTGGCTCTCTCGCTGTTGAGCAGAGCCAAATAATCACTGCTGTTCACGTATAAGTCTCTGTGGTGAGGGTCTGGAGACAGAGGAGGAGGAGAGAGGACAACAACACGGTACGTCAAACTTCTTGCTTCATAAACTCACACCGTCTGTGTGTCAACTGCATGAGAAAGTTATTCCTGGACTCTCACCATTCCAGTAGTTGCAGATAGATATCCTCTGACCTATTGCAGTGTAGCAGAGGTGGTAGAGGTTGGACTTCACAAACTGTGGGAAGAGGTACTTCAGGTAGTCTGTGTCTGAAGGAAAACAAGGGACAAAGAGCAGGATGAAGAGAAGGCTGAGAGCTGGAGAGAAGCAACTCGTCATTAACATGTTAAAGCCGCAATAACTGATCTTTTTGGCCACTTGGGGGCAGCAGAAACAACTTATGAACACAACATATACATATAAACACCTTTTAAAAGTTGATATGGTGTTAGCAAACATTAAACATCCAGCAGTTACAGAGAAACATTATCATTTAGGTTGCTTACATTTTTTCCCCCGGCACAAATAGAAATAAAGTCCCAAAGCTTCACTAGTTTTTTAGGGGATCCTTTGAGAGCAATGAATCAAAACAGGAAGGTTGCAGGCAGACAGCTAAACAATGAGCACTATAAAGCTCCGTAAAGTCAGGTGATAATTCTCTGTAGCCTCATCTCCACAAGCGATCCATTTTATGTTGTCATTTGACACACTGTTATTCTAAAAACATCGATTTCAGGTACTTGTCTTACATATACTCCTTTTGGCACTGGCCCTCTGATATTGAATTTCTGGGGAAACGTTTCACAGGAACATAACTCTATAATCATCTCCACGTGGCGTCTCACTGCTTTCAATCGTTTGGTTACTCCCTAATCTGTGTAATGTATTCAAGGTCTGAGATTTTTGTATAATGTCTTCCTGTGTAATCTAGTTTTTCTCTCTTTTTCTAATATTTATTTTTTTCCATCCCTTAGGGTCTGTGATTTGCTCATTTATACCCTTGCTGTCATGGGTGTTTTCTTATTCATTCTATTCATCCTCAATGAGATATTGCGGTAAAAAAGTTTTAAAAAGGTTAACCCACCTCCATATTGCCCGGCCTGAGGCGAAGACAGAGAGATAAAAGATTGAACGTTGTGGTCAGACAGAGTGGAGAGGATTCCTCTGCAAACCAGCCCACCTGTGATAATGTAAAAAAAAAGAAGAGATTTTTCATCAGTCTTTTTACCTGCTTTGGAGTTTCTCTGCTGTCAGAGGTGTATCAGTGGACCAACACAAGTAGGTTATCACTTGCTGTGTATGTGGTACTGCTGGAAGTTGGAAAATCTTGGATTTTATGAGGAAAGTACAACTTCATGATGCTTTGAAAATTTGAAGAGAACTAATTTTCTAACCCCCAAAAATGTATGCAATTGTTATATTCAGGGCTGCAACTAACAATCAAATTTAAATTAAACTGCTTATTTTCTGGATCAAACTAAATTGTTTGAGACAATAGAACACCATGAAGAGGTGATGCACATTATAATCTCTGTAAATCAAAAGGTGACATCTTCAAAAGTCTTTGTTAGTCAAAAACCTACAGATATTTAATTAACTGAAAAGTTTGGCATCTTGGCTTGAATAAATTGTGTAAATGATTAATAAAAATAGTTGGCAATACATTTTTCTTCATTCAATTAATTGATCAATTGACTATTTGTTTCAACTATGAATGAATTATCTATTTTCATGCTCTGCTTGGTGTATTCTCCTCTGATTTTATCTTGATATTTACTGTTTTTTGGTCTCTATGGTCTCATTTAGTTTAATTATACTGTTGTTATCTTTGTTAAATATTTTGTGTAATTGTGTATATAGTACTTTATGTCATTGAGGACCCTCCTGAAAACAAGATAGCACATCTCAATGGGTTATTCCTAATAAAGAACTTCCAATTAAAACAATTATTTTTTACATTGATGTTCCCGAAAAAATACATTTCAGTTTCAGTGTAGTTCTGTGGTAACATGTTGGAAAAATGATGAGTAATTTACATGTATGTTGGGAAACAAAAACCTCCATCTGCATATATATTTCTTCCCCTGGTTTTTACTAACTGGAACATTTAACAGTATGAATTACAAGCTGCTGGCTGGGAATTTCCAACTCCTGCCTGAAGCAGAAATCCCAAGAGTCCTAAAAAATTCATCCAGAGAAGAAAACAACAGTCTTGTAAAGCCCCATCTTTTAAATATATGTGTGCAATATTTACAATTTACAGAATAAAGTGTTACTCTGAGGTCAATGTTTGCAAGAATGACATCTTAACTAAAGACACATACCAAGACTGCTTCATAATCTTGAGCAAATACCACATTTATGTCTTATGTCACACACCTTGTGAGTAGCAGATAAAGTGGACCCCGTCTGCGGCATTTTGCATTATTGGGTAAATAGCTGCCTTGAATCCCTCCACCTGCTTCCACATGGGCTGCAGGCTGGCACTCCTGTCGAACAAGTCGATGACCGTCACATTTGTTCCAGGATGAGACTGCGGGAGAGAGAAGAAGATGGATTTTATGATGATGATTTTACATCATGAACAGGTTGTGCTGGTCCTGAGTGCCATTAATACCTCATATTGTTGCATGAAACATGAAACAGCTACAGGAAACAACACGCTAACCTCTTAAAAGCAATGCTGGACGGTAAAGCTCCTCTTATATCAAAGGCCCATCGGGATGTTTAGCTACTGATTGATCAGGATGTGCCTGAAGTATTGATGATTCATTAGGTTGTTTGGTAAGAAGGCAGGAGTACAGACTAACTGAAGCAGAGAGAGTGCGGTCTGAATTTCCGCTTTCGATTTTCTTTTTCCTCCAGAAATATGGTTTTAGGCTTTTTAGATGTGAAAAAAAAGAGGAACTTAATCTTTGGTTTAACCTCATCAATCCTGCCAGAGTCACCACAAATAACTTCCTTTGTGCATTACATCCACTTCAAGCCCACCAGGTCACTCAAAGTGTGTGTAGGTTTCAAAGAGTGTGTGGATGCAAGAATAAAAGCAGGTAAGGGCACATTTCACTGTACAGCTTGAACTCTTGTGCTGACAACAGTGTACAAACTTTACATCACAGCACTAACCATTCAATTTTCTGCAGTATTGCTGCAGGAATAATGCAGAAAACTAATTCAATGTACATTACAAGACTCCATTACTCCACTACCATTATGATAAAAGCTAAATGATGTGACACAGTACATATTGCATGATGTGGCTCCACGTTTAGCTGATAACATCTGGTCACACAAGCTGTAAGGCCTGCAGTACATAATGTATAGGGTGAACCTCTGTGACATCAAATACATTTATTTTGCTCTCCATGAAATATCTACCACCACAATGAGCCAGCCCCAGTTTGTTCCGACCACTCACCTCGTTAATGAACCGCTGTAAGTTTTTAAAATCCCCTGAGCTGTCGAACAAACCGTGCACTATGATCACCGGCTTGTACCCGACCACCGCAGCCCAGAGACACGCACCGAGCAGCGGGTACAGCAGCCCGGCCGCCCCGCTGCTGCTCCTCCTCCTCCTCGACATAGAAAAATGGGAGCCCTTCATTATTACTCAAAAAAAAAAAAAATTTAAAAATAAAAAAAACACTAAAGAAAAGCCTGCAAAATAAAATAAAAACATAAAATCCTGATGTTTGGCTAATGTTGTGCTATCATCTCCATTTCTTTTCTTTTTTTCCCAAGCGGAGGTGAAGAAGAGCCGAAGTCCGCTCGTCAGTGTCCTTTAAATAATCCTGTTTTCACGCACACTGTGTGTTTATTGTTTATTGACACTTCAACGTAAACTCCGAGCAGCTGCTGGGCTTTGCTTTGGTTTCTTTTGTTTGTTCCGGTTTTAAATTAAGTGATACGGACGTTGCTGGCGTCATTTCCGGTCACCGCTCGACCAATCAGCAGCAGGGACATATAACGCACCCCCCCTTCACTGTGTGGTTATAACAGTCATTATATATATATATATGTTATATATATTGTGTAATAATACCGTAATAACGTTAAATTAGTCCTTTTTTTGTTTTTTTTTAATCCAGTGACTTTTCAATCAAGTTTTTATTGTTCAAAAATCTTTAGTTTTAGTTTAGTTTTGATAAGTTTCAGTTTTTTATTATTATACGATAAGTTATTTGTTAGGGGCGAGAAGTTCAATAGGTCTTACAATACAAACTTTGTGAAGGCCGTTGACTCACAGTAATGTAGACGTCCCAGTCTCAATTAACATATGAACCGATGCCTCCCCTTGTTGTGTTTTTATTTTTTATTTCAGTAAATTAAATTGTTTTACACACCTAGTTTTAGTTTTTAGTAACAAACCTTTGACACAGACTTATAGTAAGAATCAATGATTAACAAAGCAGGAATGAAACACTGAAACAGAGTTTGCCTGCTGTAATCATTTCTGTTATACAGGCAAATAAAGATCCCCTCCTAATGAGCTCATTCCCTGTAAAAATAGTTAATCTGAAGCTCATTTGAGGTTTCAGCTGTCCAAATTACTCAAATCAAGTGGATATCTTTCAAAGTTATTGTCTTTTCAGTAGAAAATCCCCTCTGTATTTCCCTGATTGAGCTGCAGTGGAAGTACAGGAACAAAAAGAGGACATTTTGCTGTATTTAAATACCTCAGTCTTTATATGAAAAGTGATTTAAAAGGTCTCATCATGGCCGAGTTAACCCAATAGGAAGCCCTGGAAAAACAAATATTTGTGGGCCCTTATTTTATTTATTTTATTATTTTGACACGGGACTCTTATACAGCACAGTAGACTATTGTGTTGTGGTGCATATTATTACAAATTTGCAATCAATCAAATAACAGAGGGTCTGGAGTTCTGATTGGTAGTCCTGCCCTGGGTCTCACAGCTGTTCACTGTCAGCACGGCTTCATGAGGTTTACTGCATAACTGAAATAGCTCTCTGATCTCTGCCAGGATGCCATCACACAGGCACAAAGCGTAACAAACAGTTGAGGTTAATAACTGTCATACTCTCACACAAACACACACATATAAACACATTCACTTAAACAAGAAACCATGTGACAGCAGGCTTTATTGACTAGTTCTGCAGGTTGAGAGCAGAACAACACAACCCCCTCAGGGCCAAAACCTCTTCACACTCATCTCAAAACACAGTAAATACATACATGCACTGTCACCATTAATAAACCAGCTTTCTGGCTTTTGGTCCATTTCAAACAGACGTGTTGACCTACAAAATCAATGGTTTCCATAAACATTTAAACTCTGATGGCAGAGCAACACATGAAACATATTCATTCTCAATAAAGGGTACCAGAAAGGCTGCTGCTCGTCCTGTGGCTTCTGAAAGGAGTGCAGTCAGTTTAAACACGTTCTTGTTTTGATTAATGACGGAGTGTCAGGCTGGCTTTAACTTTGTTTCGCTTTCACCAAGAGATATTGCAGCATTAGATGTCTCCAAGTGTACCCATTGTAGTGACTATAATGCAGTGTGCTTGCTAAGCTCTTGCTAGAAAAGGAAAGCGATTTATGGCTTCATCAAAAGCTTTAAAAAAGCATCAAAAGCACATCAGAGACTCTGTGTTCAGTCTTCAATATGGTCTCAGATTTAACCGCTCTACTGAAGCATTGCATGGCATGCACAAGAAAATATCCACGTCATAAACAAGCCTCATCAAGACTTCTACGAAATGTTGTTTTAAGAAAATAATGTGTTTTTTTCCCTCCAGGTGTAGAAGAGTGGGTTCATCCCGTTGGATCAGAGCAGCTCTACACAGTAGGCTGCAGCAGCTCCTGTAGCTGACACAAGGTGTCCTTCAGGGTGAGAGCTAATGTCCCTGCGTGTGTCTCCTCGCAGCAGTTGAAGGCGGTGATGGAGAAGTGGACGTGGTCTGCCTGCGGGTTGTAGCAAATGGCGTAACCGTCAGGAACGAGCGGCCCGAAACACATCACGCTGTCTGTGTTCGCAGGCACCTGAAGGAACGAGAGAGGATAACATGATATAATGTACCATTATATAATGTATATGTTAAGACTGGGTGACAGGGCTGAAAACAAAGCTTGAATATTTTTTTTGTTTTACTTCAAATCATTAATTTGGACACCGATATTTATACAGCTGAAACAATTAATTGATTAGAAAGAAACGTTTTTCAAGAAAAACCTCAAAATACTAGAGAATATTAGAGACAAAGCAAGCTTTTTAAGTCACTTGGTCTCTGGGAATTTGTGATGGGATTTGGTTATCCTTGACATAAAATCATGTGACAACTCCTGTCCTTTATTCAATGCACTGTATTTAAATTATACGATAAATTACAGAACACAGTGACATAAAGGAAAAGTGTCGACTTTGATCAAGCAGGATGAATCCAGAGTGAATGACCAGATTAAGAACAACTACTATACACAGTAGCTTGTTACACTGTAAAGGGGTAAAAACACAAAATGTGACTTGTAAAAGTGGTAAATTACAACCGGCCATAAAAAACACTTCTGACTTCAAGAGCAAAATCAGCCGTATACTGTAGGACGTGGAGGAGCAAATAAGTCTGAAGTTCATCATTAAAAAAACAGAAGATAAGCAGTTTGACTGCTGGAAACTCCCAAAATACACTGACAGTAAATGCATCACATTAAGAAACATCACATGCACCAGAACAACTGGAAACCTGCTGATTGAAAATTCCCTCTTACATATTTAGACTATCATTTAAAAAGAAATAAAAAATTCCCACTTCCTGTTGTGCTACAGGACTGTCAGCACCTACTGTAAATTAAATCTCAAACCAACTTAAAAGTGACGTCATGTAAGATTTTATAATTGTGTGATTTGGTTTCAGAGTGCAATAACACTGTTGATTACATTACTTATGATCAAAAACCAGCCAGTCGACAACTTTTCTGACCAAAACTTCCTCTTCCCGGCGGACCAAAGCCGCTGTACTACCAGTGTAAACACCAATGTACAACACCAGTACGGCTACTTTACTGTCCATCAGGAAACTCTGTAAATCACAGAGGGTTGAGGCAGAGTAGCCAGAGGACATCAGAGGGAAAACCAGAAAACATTTTCTCCATAAAATAAGATCCAGTTTCACCAAAAACAGTAACAGAACAGGAGAAGAACAGGCACCACTCACCCTATTACAACTCAGCAACAAAATGATTTTGAAGCTGTTCTTTTAAAGTAGTAAAGTTGCATAATGTTGCTTAAACACTATAAATACACACCTGCCCCGTTCTGAGTTTCCAGTGCGTTGCCAGGCCGTAGGCTGTATCCATGAAGATTTTGGGAATGCTCAGTCCTTCCTCGATGGCCTGCAGCTTGAGGGCCAGCAGATGGCGTTCAATGCCATGTCCCTTAAGTGCCTGAACAGAGCAGGGGAAAAAAACTATAAGATAAGTGTTTATTAGTCAATAGCAGTTGACAAAAGCTGTTGAAAGTTTACTTGTTATTTACCTGATCAGTCAGAGCTGCATAAGCATCAACAGCTTCTCTGAACAGTTCTACCTTTGCTTCCCGCTGCATCAAAAAATAAAGACAAAACACTATGATTACAAGCTAAACCACATTTCTCCTCTCTGTTACATCACCTGACACTAAACAAGTTCAAATTAATCCACAGTGGAACAATTGACCAGCGTTTCTCACCGACACAGATGGATCATCAAAGGCAAGGATAAACTTGAGTGTCTGATTTGTGGGTGAGCGGATATATTCTGTCCTTCCTCCTCGAAACATCCTCTGAGAGACGATATCACAGGTAGGACAGACCTCATTGTGAACCCTAAAAAACGACAACAAAATGGAGTAAAATCTGATAACTTCAATGTTTAATCATGTTGGTTGATCACTGATGTACGTTCCAGTATGAACCACAAACAATACAAAAACAAACCATTAAGATAAGGCATTTGTGGTATTAACGTTGATCTGAGTTAGAGACAAAAACAAAAAAACATCCTGTGACCTGAATACTTGATGACGTCACTGACCTGTAGTAGGCGAGCTGCAGGGCGACCTGGATGAAAGAGTTTGGACTCAGCTTGTGCTGCTTGGGAAGATCCTTGCCAAACCTCTTGAAGTTGAACACGTTCACGTCGAGGTCGTTGATTAGTCTGCGGTGAATTTAAATCATTATTTTGCGTTCACAATTAAATTGTTCTAAACTCAAGAACTTCCAGCGTTTTACAGCAAATTAACTAATGTGACTAAATTATTTTAGTATTTAGTATTTAGTATTTTGGGCAGAGGTAACATCTGTCCAGCTCAACATTGCATGTAATAAAAAGCTTATTCCTCCTTTAGATGTTGGCATCTGGATGATTTAACTGAAAAATACACAGTAGTGATATAAAGCCTTGTGTGACAAGCCCGGATCGCAATAACAACTTCTAAGTGATTATAAGAGTCAGTCGAGCTAATGACAGCTTTCTTTTCATCAAGGTTACATTCACACAGAGAGAAGATAAATGCGTTTACACTCGTGTAATTTTCCCGTAGGCCGTGTTTGTTTCAGCGTGGTTAGATTTTGAGGCAAAAGCAAACATCGAGCTTACACTGTGCAGCGAGGTCATTGTTCTCTTATCATTCTGCACAGACTCTAAATTCACACTCAAACACTCCACCCTGAAAGAAGAACACACAAGAAGAAGTGAGAAGCTTACATGTCGAGGTTCTGCTTGGCGTGCTCTATGTCTCTCTTAATTTCTCGGTCTATGTGAAAGTAAAGCTTCTTGGGCATCGGCAGAGGGACCAGCGGGGCTCTCTTTGGGTCTGGTTTCTCGCTGCAGTCAAGAAAACACAGAGTTACTCAAGAGAAAGGCAGATGTAAAGCAGAAATCCA